AATAGTATTCCATCATATAAATATACCACAGCTTCTTTAGTCAGTCATCCGTTGATGGACATCTAGTCTGCTTCCATGCCTTGGCTATTGTAAATAATGCTGCTATGAACATTGGGGTGCAGGTGTCATTTTGAAGTAGGGTTCCTTCTGGATATATGCCCAGGAGAGGGATTCCTGGGTCATAGGGTAAGTCTATTCCTAGTCTTTTGAGGAATCTCCATGCTGTTTTCCACAGTGGCTTTCCTTGCTTCCCTCTCCCTCTTAATGATTTAGATGTCTTCTTTTATAATTTTGTGATTATTCTTTTTGCAATTCATGGCAGTTATCTCCTTTCCAGTTACAAGTTTCTCATTTTTGTAGTGTCCTGCTGCTTTTCTATTTAGAGCAGACCTGTGAATATTTCTTTTAGCATGGGTTTAGTGTTGCTAAACTCTTTGAGTTTCTGTTTTGGCTGTGAAGTTACCTCTCCTTCTATTCTAAAGGATAACCTTGTTGGATAGAGTATCCTTGGCTGCATCTTTTTTTCATTCAGGGCTTTGAGTATATCTTGCCACTCCCTTCTGGCCTGTAGTGTTTGTTTAGAGACATCAGCTGAGAGCCTTATGGGGGGGTTCCCTCGTAACTCACTCTTTGCTTTTCTCTTGCTGCCCTTCGGATCATTTCTTTATCCTTGACTCTGGCCATCTTGATTATGATATGTCTTGGTGTGGGTCTGGGGTCTTCCTGTTTGGGACCCTCTGAGCTTCCTTAGTTGGATATCTGATTCCTTTAGGTTTGGGAAGTTTTCAGTCATGATTTCTTCAAATACCTTTTCAATCCCCTTGGTTCTTCCCCTTCTGGAACCCCTATTATGCGTAGATTGGCATGCTTTATATTATCCCATAGGTCCCTTATATTGTTTTCATTGTTTTTTATTTGTTTTTCTCTCAGCTGTTCTGATTGGGTGCTTTCTGTTGCCCTGTCTTCTAGGTCACTTATTCGTTCCTCTGCATTATGTAGCCTGCTTTGTACAGCCTTTAGGTCAGCTCTCATCTCAGCAAATGAGTTTACTAATTCTACTTCTTCTTTATAGCTTCTATTTCATTTTTGACATTTTATATTTCTAAATACTATTTCTTTTAGTTCCTTCAGTACTTTGATCACTCCTTTTTTGAAATCTTGACCTAGTAATCCATCAGTGTCTATTTCCTTGATCGTGCTTTCAGGGGATTTCTCTTGATCTTTTAATTGGGAGTGGTTCCTCTGCTTCTTCATATTGCTCATATCTCTCTGGCACTGTGGCTTAAGAAGTATCAGTTATCTGGTTCTCCTGGAGATGGTGTGCTCTTAATTATTTTATCTAGAGGTCTTTG